GGAGACCAGGCAGGTTTGGTTTCTCCCCACCCACAGTTTCCCGTGAAGGTGTTGCCCAGGGGAGTAAGTAGATCCAAAGGCCAAGAAGAGGCTGCAGATGGACCCTCCACTAGGACCACCTTTCTGTGCAAGTAAAGACCCCAGAGCTTGTCTTCTACTGCCCATAGCAGAGAAGCTAATGGCAGTCTGGCGCAACCAGATTCGTTTCCTTCACCAGAAGCCATCCAGAGGGGAACCGTGTCCTTTGTGGCCACCAGGCATTCAGGGATCTGTGCTCCGTTGGATCCTGGGGCCTGTAATTGGGGTTGGTGGTGCTTGGGTAACATGCAAAGAGTGCTTCGGACCTGGGAGGGGCTGCATACTAAAGGCGTCCTACCCTCCCAAAGTCTTGCTTTAGGGGCCGGCAAGGAAGAATTATATTTTGCCCCAGAAACACCCTCTTCCTGGTGCTGCCCTTTAGAGGGTGTACAAAATTATGTGCACCATGAAGACAGTGGCTTTTCCCCCCTTGTATAATACGAGATCTTGGATCATCCAAAGATCTGAAATCTGGGAAGTGGATCAAAGAAGGGCCTTCTTCACACTGAGCATAGTTGGCTAGTAGAATTCCCTGCTCCAAGCTCAGAAAACTAATGTGGGTGCTTTAAAACAGGGGAGTGGACAGATTTCTTAAGATTCCCTTGGGCAGCAAAGGTCTGATGCCTCTGATGACAGCTGAGAGGAATCAAGTCGGGAAGGGCACCCGCCTTCCCACAAGGGACATCTCCTTGGTCACAAGGGGGGCCCTATCAAGCAGGAGAGGAGCTGTTTCTGTGGCCCCCCGAGAAGGTGATGCTCCCCAGCATCTGTAGTGGGTGGGAGCTGGGGGGAACTGCCAGAGCTCTGGTTTCGTTGGGACCCACCCAATCCTGGGACTCCTCCAAGTAGTGATGGGATCCTTAGGGAAGGAATGCTCTCTGCACGTGGCTCAGAGGACACCTGCTCATTGCATATCCTCAGGCTCAGATCCCCCCCCCCCAAGGCTCAGCAAGGGCGGGGAGCTTATGCCGGGTCAGCTGCGCAGTCGGGCTTGAAGAGCCTGGTCTTGAGGGCGGACTGAATGCCCCTCTGCGAGTTGGGAGCAGACCCGGCAGCAGCCAAGCCCCGCTTGGCCCAAGGATGCAGCACATCCTGTTCGGTGTCCTTGGCCCTTCCTTTTTTGTTCTTGCAGCTGCAGCCCTGCAAGGTGGGTTGCTATTGCCCCCCGATGCCCAGGGGCTTGGTTTGGCCTGGGGTTCCATCACAGAAACTCCTGTGTGTTGGCACCCCAGCGATGGTGGGCCCACGCATGTCTGTCCCCTCCTTCTGGCAGCCCCTTGTGCAGGAGGGATGGGGTCCTGCTTCCGGGCGAGTGCTGGGAGGGAAGCCTCAGGGCGAGAAGAGCAACCCTTCCCCGCAGCCCTTCCCTTTCCCGTCTGCTGCCTGCAGTTGAGCGAATTCGCTGGGAGGGAGAGAGAACTTTGCAGAGCCTGGAAGCCCAGGGAGCCTTGCGAGCGGATGCTGGATCTGGGCCATGTTCAGGGCTTGCCTGGGAGGCGGGGGGGGCGGGGGGGGCGGGG